TGAGCTAAATCCCCGGCCCCAGCGATCCACCCCTTTCGATGCAAGGAGAGGACCTTGCTCCTGAGAGCCCGAAACACTGCAGACACCCACCGCGGAGGGCAGAGTAACTAACACTGCTGTGCTTTTCTGTGCCCAGGAGAGGGGATGGAGGGGCCAGTGGCTCTCTCCAGAGACGCATGCTTGCTCCTGGAGACTTTGGGTTTCTGTTTCTCTGCTATTTTTTGAGACTTCCCCCCCCTTTATTTTGTTTTTTAGTAATTTGACTTTAATGTACCTGAGTGTTTTTTCTTTGTATTTATCCTGATCAGAGTTCTATGTAATTCTTGAGTCTGTGTTTGTTCTTTAGCTTAGGAAAACTTTTAGTCACCTATACATACGTGTGGTGTTTTCTGCTTAATCTCTTTCTCTTTGCTTGTACGAACTTCCATTAAAGATATGTTAGGTATTTTTTGACATTGTACTATGGATCTTGGGTTCTTTTTTATTATTAGTATTCTTTCTTTCATCATTAACTTTGGATCATTTTTATTGACCTGATTTCAAGACTATTTTTTTACCAGTATGCCAAATCTTTTAATAAGCTCCTTAATGCTCCCTTTATGATATTTTGATTTTGCTTTCTATTGGCTTTTTTGAAAAAGTTTCCTTCTCACTGATGTATTTCTCCACCTGTTCATACTTATTGTCCACTTTTTCCACGAGATTCTTTAAGATATTTTTTATAGCTACTTAAAGACTCTGTTGGATAATTCCAACATCTGAGGTGGGTCCTATAGTGGCTATTTTAATGTCATTGTTTTCCTTTTTTGTGTATCTTGTAATTTTTAATTTATACTGGACATTGTTAGTAAAGGAATATTAGAAGCATATGAATAATAACTGTGCCCAGAAAGGACTTTTCCTCTGATAGTCCATTAGGATGGTGGTCTGAGTCAATATAGTTAGCAGTTGCAGGCTTTTTTTTTTTTTTTTTTTTTTTTTTTTTTTTTTTTTTTTTTTTTTT